AAAAACTAATCATGGTTTAGATATAGTTAATGTTATTTGCAAAGTTTTAAATAACCATTCTCTGGCAAATAGTTTTGAATATTGAATCAATTTGAGCAATCCAAATGCTCCTTAATGTTTGAAGAGGTTTCTATAAAAATAAATACTCCACCCCATTCGACTTTATATCCAGAAAAAAAGAAAATTTTACATTAAACTCTTGAATGAAGACAAACGCGTCATTTTACAATGGGGAATATTTGCGTATGGGTTAATGATTATGTTGATTGTCATAGTAAAGTTTCCATTCGATTCAGTTTTGGCTGATTTCTTCTCACTACTGTGGATTCGTTAAAAGTCTAGCTAAATCCTGTAAACATGTCAAAAACTTGCGTTATGATTGATCCATCCCCGAATTTCTTGACATGCATTAAGCCTACGTTTATTTTTTCTGATTTTGATTGAATTTATCGAGTCAGAAACTTGAGATGAAATAAATAATTTACTCCGTAAAAACTCACATTATGTTTTCTCCCAGCTGTTTACATCTGCTAACTTAAATTTCATCTGAATTAATTTGTTTAAAAACTCGAAACAGTATAAATCGATACACAAAGTCCGTGTGCACTCCTGAAATATCTCGGAGACAGCTATTTTTACATTTGAGGGTGTGAAATAAAGATACGTTGTGTTTTATTCTGTGTGTTTTTTTTATGTCCAATATCATGCGTTCAATACACACCTCCCCATGCTGTAAGTACAGTATTGCTAGAGGGCGTCGGATCGGCGGATATAGACAATGTACATTACGTAAGTACATCACGTGGCCCAACCCTAATAGTATTACTTCTCTGCTCTCTATTTATATTGCGAAATTGCGGATTTATTTTGACCTCTAGTCTGCTCATATCGTAGTTCACTTGTTTACAGTCTATTTATTTTAATTAGGTTACAGTACAAACTGATATTTCCACCTATTCACTATTAGCTTTATTAGTTGTTTATGATTACTTTTTTTCAAAATAAAAATGTTAGGCATGTATAAAACATCCTCGAATTAATTACTTTTGAAGGTTCTGTACTCAAAGTCTCAATAATATATTTGGTAGGCCTATTGTTCATTCTAAAAGTAGATTTTTGCGAGTAAACACAATTTTAGTACTTTAGTGTCATTAGACGTAATTAATGACAATAATTAATCCATACTCATTTCTTTACCCGTTTATACAGCATATTTGCCGTTTCTTTAGGTAAATGTTGGGTCATATTTTGTATTATTTAGTTTGATGTTTAACTTAATTATAAGATTGTCTGTGAATTCAAAGATAACGTTTTGAGATTTGACAAAAACCTGTTAAACATTTCAACCAACAAAAATACAACACGGTTTTGTTAAAACATGTTTTACGATTCGCTTGTTCTGTTCAGTACAGCGTTGTCGTTGTCGTTGTCATCGACTGTTGTCGTTGTCGCTTTTTGTCAACCGTCCCCTGTTCAACCACAACTTTTGTTCATCCCCGTAGCTTTTACGCTTCCGATATTTTACCGTCCTACAACAAAGCTTTTTCATCACAATTCAATGTTTTAGTTATTGAAAGCATTTATTAATTTTATTTCAGATAAAATGTTTGTTTTCCATTGCGATATTATTCTGAAAATAGTTGTGTATATTTTACAATAAAAAGTTCACAGTTTGAGACATTAGTTGCAGGTTTTTAGATTTGTAACCGTTCACTTATTTAGACGAAACAATTTGCATTTATAACAAAACAAGATTCGATCAATTGTGAGAGCAAATTCATATAGGCAAATAATTATCAAAATGACATATAGGCCTATGATTCGTCACATCTTGCTAACTTGTATCCCACTGAATTGTACTGCATACATTTCCAGTAATGGATGGAATCGGGTATACAATGATGGTGATTGGTGATCCATCAACCAGTTGGTTCGCAACATCTCACATACGCACACGAACACACACACGAGCGCACACACACGAACATACGTTCAGTGCGTTGCTCCCGATCTATCAAGGCCTATCATTCCCCTCTTAACAGACTGTATGAACTGCTGTGTTATACTTTATCACATCGCATAGTACAACGTTCACTCTCACATTGGCGGGAAAGCGTCCTTCAGGTGATGCGACCTTTCACAGCTGTTCAACTGTACAATCAGCTGGCCTTGCGTAACAGTTTTGACCTAGACAAGTCAGCTGATTTTGCGAAAAATTACTCTACCTAATTCTGCAACGTGGGCACCATTGTTGTGCTTCGGCGGACTTCCAATGTTTACATTGATTGCTGGGAGTATAATCAAAAGTTACGTATTCGTTTTTGAGGTAGGTTTAGAAAGCTGTTGACAAGTAAGTTAAATAGTGTGGTTTGAAAATATTCAAATTCAATAGGAATACATTCTCGCACGAATTGAAATTATTTTGCTTTTTAAGAATGTTTATTTGACCAAAATAAAAACTTTTTCTAATTATACCTTTAAATTAACTAAAAATTAAAAAAAACTGTCTCAGTGTTACTGTATAACGAAATTAATTAAAGCTGATATCTTTCATTTTTTTAGCACAGTACAAAATTGTAAAAAAAATAGTGATCTAAAATTTTTTACAAATTTTATTACGACTGTGCGTTGTTTTATAGTGAATGGAGAGTATATTGTGTGGATGCAATATATTCAAGTACTCCACTTTTCAGGAGGACTGTTTAATTAAGTTTCCCAGTAGGTAATGGAGAGTGACACCGACACCGGGGTTGCCAAGGTTTAATAAAGTGTGTGAAAGGGGTGAAACAGCATGGGACAACACAGTCGTGTTAACACACAATTTCTCACACATTTGCCCCACTCAGCATCCGTTGTAAACAAATAATTTTCAGAAAGTATTTAACGTAATTTCTTTCTTATAATTTTATTTTATTTTTAATAACACAGACTATTGTATGATAAAGTATGAGTCTCCTGCCCCCTCTCCCCTTTATCACACCATTACATCATAGCTAAAACACTGTAAGCTCTAGCCCCGAACCGTTTTACACATTACTTCACAGTAGGCTTAGGCTTAGAGGGTCACGGAATTATCAAATGGTTAAAAAACATTGGTGATTGGTGGGATTTGAACACGGGACCTCGTTGACCGAAGCCTCAAGCTCTACCTCACTAGCTCGCCGCTAAAGATGAAGTACGGACCAGCAGTAGCCAATCTTTTATCAAATAAAAAATATTTGAATGAAACACGCACGAAGTGTTCTACTGTAATTCAATTTGCTCTTTTATTCTTTCATACTATGGTCAATGTTAAGTAATGTTACTTTTAAAAAATGCTATAGTCAACTATAGCAAATTGCTTAAATGGGGGTTGTATTCGGCTGAGGACTTTTTGATCGAGGTAATAGCGTAATGTGTATTTTTTTACTATGATAAAAATGTATTTTTCTAGACAGTAAGATGTAGGAGATACCTATTATTACAGCGGTTTCACTATCTAACAGTAAATATTCTTCTTGATTCTTTAATTAGCCATACTTTATACTTGGTTTTGTTAAATTCTGGCTTACCCGACAAAAATAAGTAAATTCGCATCAGCTATATATCGATGACTCAATTCAAATTTTTATTCTTAAACTAGCACAAATTTAATGCAGAATATTATCTCTACAGTAGAACTCCAATTATCCGAACTCCAATTAACCGAATCTCCAATTATCCGAATCGCTTATTTCAACAATTTAAAAATCGTAAAGCTACAGTAATAAGTTTTGCAAAATATCAAAGAATTGTTATTAAACACATTTAGCCAATTTTGGACTTTGATGGAACACTATTGACTTAATAACATGTATAGAACACTTGTACTATGAGCATTGTAAACTGTAAAAATGTTCTGATTTAAATTATTAGTAATTAAAAGTTCACTTAGTACCGAAAATGTAGATTTTTCATTAAAATTCCCGGAATTCCGGTAAAACTCCGATTATCCGAATTTTTGATTATCCGAATGGGGTCTGGTCCCTATTGATTCGGATAATCGGAGTTCTACTGTACTTCTAAAAAATAGTGAAAGCTCATAACTGAATTTCAATTCCATTGTTTAAATGCATGACAATCGTATCTTTGGAATGCAGGACAATGTGTTGCATTTCTGATCAAACCACCCCACATTATATTCATTAGTTACAACCAAGGCTCAGAGCAAACCTGCTGGATGTTGACAAATGATATCACATAAAGTTATCCCATTAGAGCCCTAACAAGCCAAACTAGCATCATTCTCCCAAACTCTGGATAAGGGTCACCTCTGTTGTTTGTGTCCCTCTAGAATAAAATAAACTTAAGCACTTTAATGGCTAGGGGATTTTTAACTTGCGCGTTTTTATGTGACTTTTATGGAGTAACATATCATCCATTGATATTGAAAGTGTTTACTTTGAATTTCTCAACACAAAAATAATGTGTCAGTAAGTCTCTTCCAAACACACATCTCCTTTGGTTGGAAATGCTGTAAGGAATAGTTAAACATGATATTCTGATTTTCAAGTACAGTGTAAATATGTTTTTCTCACTTGAATTTACCACGCTTTTCCCTTTCAGGCAAGCTTGCTATCATAAAAAAATTCAATTTTTTGGCGCTATAATTTTTTTTATGGGATGCTAGGACAAGCTCGGAATTGTTTTTCACATAACTTCAGGCTAAACCTAGGGGTTGCGGCATTATTACTTAGATAAAATTCATTGGTGATTTGGCGGTATTTGAACGTGGGACCTATGGGACAGGAGTCCCGCGCTTTACCATTAGACCAACTTGCTCCCCATTTGATGTATAGTAAAAGATAATAAAGTTTTAAATAAGTTCCCGTCAGTTCAGCTTGGTTAATAAGTTGGTGTGTTCGACATACACTTTCAGTTGTTGGCTCAATTTAACTATGTAACTGGCTACATCTTAAACATGCAAATGGGTTTTCTTCTAATCTTGGCAGCTTTATTCAACCTAACATCATATGTTACAGAGGCCACAGTGAAGGTGATGGACTTGAGGCTGTGTCAGTGTCGGGGCAGTGTGATGGCACCATGAGTTCTGTGATGGTGGCACAGTCCGGCCCAGAATACAACAACAACCTAACACTTGTTAACGCCAACGACGCCTCACCCGAAGAACTGGCGCTCCTCGCTAAATTGGAGGAGGCAAACCGGTAAGAACATTTTAGACTTGTGATTAACGATTGAACATTTAAAACTGCTATTTGAGTGAATTAAAGACCAGCTTGATAGACTGAAGACTGAAGTGATCTAAGTTTTAAATTAGCCACAGTGGGCTCGCCAATCGCCATTCACTAAAAAGTCACAATCATGACAGCTGACAGCTGAAATAAGTTCGACCCAACCTTCAGGAGGAGCAATGCAGGTTTTGATGGTTTGACCCTATTGGGCGTTCTATCAAATATTTGCGCAGTAACAGTTATTCATAGTTATGTTTGGTTTAATAGGCCAAAATGTTGCATAATGATTTGGTTTGCAGCAATAAGAGTATTTATTTCAAACATTGCCTAAAATTGTCACAAAGAAAAGTTAAACCCACCTACTCCTGTTGGACAATCTTTTATTTTAGGCACTATATTATTTTTATTCTTTCATACTCAATTGGTTAGGGTTGGATTGTAATTATTAAACTGTCTTTTCTAAATGTTACATTGCAAACTGTACTTGTTAATATATCAAATCTCTCTTGAAAATATTTACTCTAGTATGGTACAAAACTTTGTTGAAACAAGGCCTCACTAGTTTTTCTAGTGGGGCCTTGGTTGAAACCAATGAAACCCATAAAACACTGTTAGCGAGTTGAGTTTGTTGCAAAGCATTATCAGACCATCAGCTGATTAATGTTGAACTGGAAACTCGCTGTAAGTTCTTGTTACTCTCCCAGTTTACATGTCCAATGTTTCTGCCAATGTAACTTATCATGTGATAAGTTTTTGTGTGGGAGGGGAGGCAACTAAAGATAGACAGTCTGCTTTTGAAATCCAACCGCCCAACTCATGACCACACAATGATTAAACTTGTTAAGGAAACTATTATAATCATTCAATAAATTTGACTTTTCTATTTCTAATTATTCATTGACGATTTTCATATTTTTGCCTTCCCCCTATTCAACAATTACTCAATTTGTTGATGATTGACTGGTTTTGATATTTCAACTTCAAATAGGAAACTCTTACATATTTTTGCCTCTATGCCGGTTTTATTTTCTCAGTATACGACAAACTGTGTCAATAGGTGATGTGGTGAGTTGGTGGCTCAGTCGGTAGCGCCACGGACTTAGGGCCCAAGGCAGCGATATCGTGGGTTCAGATCCTGGTCACTGTCGAAAACATTTTATCAGTACAGTTCACCTTTGTACTGTACTGGCGTGCTTTGCTGGATACGTTCCACGCACGGGCAGTTAGTCTATGTGGACGGGCAAATGGAAGGTTAAAAGAGGTCGCCAACCTCTTAAAAAAAAACCTAATAATGGTATTTCAAAGACCATACAATCTACTTTAGGTAAAAAGTGCCACCAACCTCAGACTCTTATGTGCTGAAGACTATAATGTGTTCAAACATGGATAGAGTAAAAATACACCATCACATGGAATGAAAATCATCGGGTTTGCATCTCACAAAATCAGCTGTGTCAATTTTGTATATGTTGGTTATGTACTTTTTTTTAAATGTGTTAACAAATTAAAATCTTAAAATATGACAAAATAGAAAGATTTGTACAGATACAGCCATGAGGATAACATTTTAGAGCTATATTCTGAATGAAATATGTGATTACTGTAGGTTTTTACCCAAATTTCAATAGTTTGTTGATAATTCAAAACAAATTTTATAACCATCATTGTATGTTAACTAATGGGCTACTGCACCACCCCTTTTCCCCTAACCATTACCAAGCTTTATACACAATCTTGATGAAGACAATCCAAACGAAAATTCTCTGGCATGCAATCCAAACCTTTATCCATCGACACAATTAATCATTTTAGGATTCATTAGTTTGCAAGCTCTTTTTTTTGCGTGTACTTAAGAACTTAATCATGTTTGGTTTCAGGCTTATAGAAGCCGATGCCAAGTCCCTAAACTCCATATCTAACAACAGTGGACATTCTCGGAAAAGCTCCGACACTTCACAAATTTCTCTCACATCAGGTATGTTTTGTGAAAGTTACATAACTAGGTATTCATTTCCGATGAGGATTATTGAAATTGTTATTTCACTGTGTATTGGAGAACAATTAGGAGTTATTTGTGTTTGCAAAGTAGGTATCTTAAATTAAAATGTTACCTCTACAACATCAAAACTGTATGATACAGTACTGGGTTTATTGAAAGGCATTGAGTAGTATTGACAATGGTATGTTTATTATTATTTCTATTTGAGTGAAGATAATATCGGTAAAAATGCTAAAAACATTAAACAGCATAGTCTTTATCTATGTCTTTATCTATGCTTTATCTATCTTAGAATATGATTATTTTAGTATTAATTGACAAGCTTTGAAAATTACGCTCTGTAGTGCAAAATATGTAAAGATTGTAGTGCTTAGTCTTAACCTATCGAAGCAAACTCATAGATAACTAGTTTAGTTGCTGATTTCATTAATCTATATAATCTAACTATGCCAAAGTATTTTTAACTAGCCTTATGAAGCTTTTGTTTTATTTATTAGGTACTACAGAGTGTTGCGGTCTTGAGATACCATAAAACAATAAACTGCTACCTACTACTTTTGAAATCCCAAAAAATAGTCTGCGTATTACATTTTTAACACCCAGCTTTTTCTGTCAGTTATACATGTCGTAAAATTAAGGAACGTTCATTCAAATGACTTTTTTTAGTAGTTTCTTTGTGTTGCAAGTTTTAAACAACTAGTCTGTGTCAATAGTTTTACATTATTTAAAAACTAACTGATTAAATATCAAGGGTAGTTCTTTTAATTTATTTGTTGTATCTTGTAGCACATTTTAAAAAGTACTTTCTTTAAATGTTGGTTGAGATACAAGTTTTACTTTGTTCAATAGTCTTCTTTTTTATTTGAATTTAATCACAGATTACACCTTAAGTAAAAAATATATTACTTTTTTGTTTGTTTCTTTCTTAGAGTCTTACATTAGTAAACATTATAAGCCATCCTATTCCAGGTTTTCTTGGGTTTTCCAAAAGCTTCCGATTGTTGAGGTGATGAAAGCTATAATTCTGTGATTTTCCATCATGCACTCTAACATCTACGGGCTAGGGACTTTAGCTCTCAAAGACGTGAGGGCTTTTTTACGAGACAAAGAAGGTAACTGAAAACCATGAAAGATTGGCAAATGTCTGTATGCTGCTGTGCAACTGTTGTGGAACAAACCTAGAAGAGTTGTAGTGAATGCACATCGGTTAACGTTGGAATCGTAACACAAAATTGTGCAACTCAGGTGAAGGATAACAGTTTTAGTTTGCTGATAGTTACTAACATGCCTGAATCTGTAGTTGGGTTTCTAGTTCGCATGTAGTTGATTTACTACTAGAGAATGTTATTCAGATGAAATATTTTTAAAAAAGTTGCTGAAACAAAAAGTTTACCCATTTTTCATATTAAAATACTCATTATTACTCAAACTGCTTTAACATTGAAAAGCAATATTCAATCAAGTTGAACGGAAATAAGTTTACTGCCAACAATCATAACTAGGCCTGCTGATAGTGAAAGGTTATGCTTCATGTGTTGTCATTGCGGTATTGTTCTGCTTCTGTCATGTGATAATATTGTGTCATCGTTGAACTCATTATAGGATGGTGTTATTTGTGAATCTTCTTGCTCGTAAGTTTATAGGTTATTTTCGGTTTTGAGTATTAAATATAAGTTGGATTCATAAACTCATCATGGTATTATACTTCAAGTTAACCATTTTAAAGGGTTTACTGTTACATAAATCATAGATGAATAGTTATCATTTATGGTTATAATGTATGTTAGTTATTTTAATCCATATTAACTTTGTATTAATTGACATGTTTAAAGTAGTGACATTGTTGAATTTCTTAGTAACATAGATTAGATAACTAGAAAAAAACTTCTTTTGGTTTTCTTTCAGTTTTCAGTTTTTCTAATTTTCTAAACTATATTAGTTCTGAAACCTCCTTTACTTATAATTATTACATCTAAAATGTGTATTATAATGAATTAAAACACAAAATGGAAGCAAGTAAGACAAGTTTGTTGCAAGTGCAGTCCCTTACCTATTGTTTGTTTGCCAATATAAAACATACATTGGGGACTTTAGCTATACAATTTTTTTATTTTCTTCTGCACATTAACCAATTAACCTTAGGCAGCTTGCCATGCTGTTTGAATTTCAAATCACATAAAATTGTATTTGCAATAATTTAGGGTATAGTATTTAAATGTTATCAGGAGGGTAAAAAACTGAATAAACTTTATAATTACAATGTATCCAATCAAATTTGTATCACATAAAAAGAATTCTATGTAGAATGAGTTTTTGTATCGATGCTATAAATACAACTGCATCTACTATTTATAAACACGATTGCTCAATCACAAAACAATACAACATATCAAGTGCAATTGATCTTTTACATCATAAATCAATGATTAAATCAGATGGCCCACCAAACTGTTCTATTGGCCTGCCTTATCTCTTCTCTCAATGACCCGTTATCTCAACATTGTATTTCCTAGTGACCAGTTCATGTGAATTGTCTACAACTGTGTTTTCTCACTATTCTATTTCCTAGTGACAGAATTTAGTGAATCGTCACCTCGTGTTCGTCGTATGCCGCGGCCGCACATGTGTTGTTGTTTACCTGGAACCAGATGCCACGACGACGCTACCTGTGTCATTGGCCGTTCACCTGTGTGTATTTTCTGTTCGTTATCCGTCTTTCACCTCCTTAGTCTAATGGGTGACGTGTCCCGAAGGTTTGCGAGTAGTTGTAGATGCTGTGGCGGTTTGTTCGTTGGTTGATGAAATGGTTTCAAGGTTCTGTAGTGTTATTGAGAGTGTTTTCTAGGTTATGTAGCTTGTTGTGGTTTTCATGGTGTTTTTACGTGTTGTGTTTCCAGGTACAAGTTCCAGTCAAGACCGGAACTGCGGGGAAGATGGCGAGGAAGACGTGTGGAGTGTTTGGGGCCGAGTCGTCAACGACTGGGAGACAACTTACAAGAAAAAGACTGCTTTTGTCAAGGTTTGTGGACTTAAATATATAGAGGCTTTTGAATATAGTTTGGTAAAACTCAATGAAAATTTAGACAACAATAGTAGGTATATTACGCTGCAATGATGGGAAGTAGTTGTTTACATTACAAGCATGATAGTTTCATGCATTTATGCAAGTACCATTAACATCTTACTGAGTGAATCGTGTATGATACTTTTTGCCTCAGTACCAGCAACAAATATACATGTTTAGTAAAAACACAACCCATGCACACTGTTTAATACACACTATATTAAAACATTGTTTGACATAGTTTTCAATATTTTTTTAAGGCAAAATTTTTTTGCGAATTACCCATACAGGGAAAAAGTTATTACCATAGGTCTCATGATAAGACCTAGACTCGCGACTATTTTTTTTTTTTTTCGTTATGATGTCTTCAGAGGCCAAAAACACCATCCGTTCAAATTCATATATATTTATGTCCCCCAATATCACCAGTGGTGTACTCACAAGCTCACCACAGTCTTGGTAAAAGCATGGTTTGCCAATGAATATAATTTGGTTTAGGAAAAAGCAGATAGGGAACACCGTTCCAACACGTTTCCGCCCCACTACACCACTAGCTCGATAACTTGAGTAAAAATTATCCGAATTTTAATTAAATTTGGTACAAAACTGTAAAGCTACATTTATTGAAATGAGTTCTTAAACCTGCAAAGGGACAGGGTTTTATGGGGTTAAAATTGTTTTTTCTCATTTTTGGCCCCAAAACACAAAATTTTGCAACTCAAAACCATTTAGTAGAGCTTAAAAATAAAATGACTTAATATGTTAAATAGTTTTTCATAAAATTAGGATAAATTATCTATAACTATAATCGGTACTAATCGTGTGTTTGTGTAGGAGCTGGTGCGGAAAGGTGTTCCTCACCCGTTCCGAGGCATTGTCTGGCCTCTGCTGTGTGGAGCGCACGACTCGTCCGTCAAGAAACAATACGCAGACTACATCAAAGCCACCTCAGCTTGTGAAAAGGTACAGTAACAGGGCAGAGATGTGTTTGATGGGAAAGTTTTATGCCATTATTTGTTTGATTCTGCTAGCGCTGTATAACCATGCCATCAGTAATTAAGTGTTTTCTTTAATTTTTCTATGTTTTCAAAACCTTTATTTATTTCTGTTCAATAATGACTCACTCCAAGCACGGGTTTTCCCATGTGGAAATTTTGTTTATTTATATTTTAGCAAAATTAGTATATATATATATATATGTAATATTTGTAAAATGCTTGTAACAATGTTTATTTGTTTTGAATTTATTTGATTTTATTTGAATTCCAGTTAACCATTTGTACGGGTCTTGGAATGCCACTGTCATAAGCCTAAAGATTCCAAAAAAAAAACCTTCGAATTCCTCAAATTTCTACTTTAAATCACCTAAAAAGATAAAAGACACTAGGACTCTATTAGTCTACGCTATTACGCTATTACAAGACGGTGTTGAGTGCATGGTTGTTGTAAATAGGTAAACAGATGACACAGAGTTTTTAATCTGATTTTCGTAGGTGATACGAAGAGACATTGCTCGGACATATCCAGAGCATGACTTCTTCAAGGAGAAGGACGGAATGGGACAAGAGAGTTTGTTCAACGTGATGAAGGCGTACTCTCTACACGACAGAGAGGTCGGCTACTGTCAGGGCTCAGGCTTCATAGTGGGACTGTTGCTGATGCAGGTAACTAGCAGACATGTATCAGTAATATTGTTGAATATATTTCCTATTTTCAAGAACCATACAATATTGCAATGTCTAAAGCAGGGTTCGCGGATGTGGCATTCTGAGCCAAATCACGACTAGTGTAGATGGTTGTTCGTCTACTTGTCATTCGGCGAAAGTCATTGCCTACCCACTCTCACTCTGTGTCTGTTTTACCACTCAGCTTAGCAACGGACTTCTCGAAAAGAGACAAATCGATAAACAGAAATAGTTTGCCACTTGGCAAATATTCGTCACTTGGTGGATGCCACTTGCACGGATCTGCCTTAATAACTTTGTTTGATGTAGTTATTAAGAGAGTTATATTCTATGATATTTTGCCATAGATGCAACATCTTTCGAGGTCTTTTATTACCTACACTTCCATGGTTTGTCACTATAAACACTACCATAACAAAGTGCATAATTTAAGTTGTAAATGTAAATAGCTGCCACAAACAGACAAGCAATGGAAAAACAATATCAAGCACCTGTGGTCAAACAACTCTTTAAAAAACTCCGGTAAACAAGGTAATGTGATTTCCTGTAATAAAGGCTTGTACTTTAAGTTATGTATGACCAGTGATGTAGTGAATTGGTAACAGGTGGGAACCCCCTACCCCCCCCCCCCCCCCACTCCGCTTTTCCAAAAATCCAATACTGAATTAATAGGCAACCTGTGTTTTTTTTTTTTTTTTCTGAGACAGAGTTAAGCGTACCCAAGCCTAAAACTTTACGGCTCCACCATGAGGTAACTTTTTTATTAATTAATTTGGTGAAATCACATTTTTCTAGCCAATTTTAATCTGTTGACAGATGCCCGAGGAAGAAGCGTTTGCAGTGTTTGTGAAGCTGATGCAGGACTACCGCATGAGAGACATGTTCAAACCTACGATGGCTGAACTGGGCCTCTGTATGTACCAGCTGGAGAACTTAGTTCAGGTAATACTACTAAAGTTGTAAATTTCGTAAAAGTCCAATTAAAGATTACATTAGATAGATAGTAAACAAAAAATATGCAGCTAACTCATGAAACAACAAAATGTACAGGAAACTCAGATAGCCTAACAGAGTTACGATTAGACTACCATAAAAGAAACTCAACTATGTATGATACATGTCCTAGTAGCAAGTGTTTATTTTTTGTAAAAATATTTTAAAAAACCGAAGGTTTGTGTTGCCTGTCCTTTAACACAAATAGCGATTTGTTGTCATACAATTTAACTACGGATATTCACATCTTCTGCATAAAAAATTGAGTTTACTAGAAGTTGTAAATTTTGAAAATAACATGGAAAACAAAATCTTATCATGATATTTGATACTGGTCGACCAGACGCTGATAAGACTTGAGTTACTGGAGGATAAGGCATGATTGTCATGTTCAGCAGCGTTGAGTAGTTTCATGTGAGATCTTTAACCAACTTGACAGACATTCTGACCTAAATTTGTTGTACAGACAAATAGTAAACTAAAGAGATCGACCATTAACACAGGTGGAACTGTACAACACTTAACAGGTGCGTGTTATCGAGCAAACAGAAAAATTCTGAATATTCATTACATGAATAGTGAGTTTTTATTTGATTTGTTTGAGTTCAATCTAATCAAATACTCATCAAATACTCATAATTGTTGATATTGAATATTTTGAAGGGAATATCTTGTTTGTTCCTCTAACAATTTCTTCAATCACAAACTTAGAAGTATAACTATACCAATGTTAAATATTCTATATTCAAGTACATCAACAATTTATTCACTCCTATCTATCACTGTGTCTAACCTCTAAATACCTGACATGGGTAAGCACTATAGTCTGTCCGTTTGGCTATGATACCCAGCGGATTAGGTACCTTCTCGAAACTCAACTCACCCTCTCGACCTGCTCGTCGGGCTGAACGGAGACAAACAGTGACTCACCCACTGTCACAGTCCCACAGATCTGTAACTTCTTTTGTTTTAGTTAAAATACATTTTTCTTTATACATTTGAGTTCTACATGAAATTCCAAAAATAATGAGCCCAGACATGATGTGGATACTTAATATCTACGATCTGAAAGTAGAACATTTACTCTGTATAGTCACCAGCTTTGTCCAACTTTCAGATCGTTGATGTTAAGTATCCACATTGTGTATGGACTCATTATTTTTGGAATTTCATGTAGAACTCAAATATGCAAAGAACAATTTATTTTAACTTAAAATAAAAAAATTACAGATCAGTGGGACTGTGACAGTAGGTAGGTAAACTTTTTATCAACGGCCAGCCTGGCGAGCGGGTCTGAAGGGTGAGTCGAGTTCCGAGAAGGTTCCTAATCCGCTGGGTATCATAGCCAAACGGACGTACTATAAGCAGCAAGAACGTTTTCCTGGAATACGTTAACTTAGTGAAGTATATTGATTTAAACAACAAATTTTTCTTAGATATGTGCTTGTACAGTTTAGATTGTTATACAGTATCATGAAGAATTTTTGTGATGATTATAATCGTGTAGTTCTGGGTAATAATTTTCAAGATTAAATTCTAAAATGTATATTTAACTATGTAATCTTTCGAATCCATGCACATTCCTAACTAAAACACTATGAAGTGACATATTATGGGTGTATTTACAGGAGCTGATACCAGATCTCCACGTACACTTCCAGTCCCAGAGTTTTCACACCAGTATGTACGCCAGCAGCTGGTTCCTCACACTGTTCACAACAGCCCTCGCACTCCCGACGGCCTGCAGGTCAGTCTACCGTCAAGTATCAAGAAATTGTATATTTCATTACTAGTACCAATAGTGGCAATTTCCAAGGCACGCTCAAGGAACACCGAATTTCACAAGTGAGGCAAAGCCGTGCATATGAGAGTTATTATCACGAAAGAAATTAAGTCGAGGACAGGAATAATTAGAGCAAGTGCCGTAAAATCACTTTTGATGTAAGTTTGGAAAGAAAATTTTTAACACTGCGCAAAAATATTCAGAGTTACAAAGTAACAGACTTTAGTAAAATTAAATTTATAAATATAAAAATATAAGCAAAAGTTTGTAGCAAACCTAAATAACAATGTAAAATCATAAGTTCATGTTCAACGTTTTGTTCATTGTGCAGTAAACACACACTACAAGCTAAAAAAAAAAAAGTATGGAGGATCAAAAAAAGCAAGGGAAAGTAAATTTATAGCAAAGGAAAAATCTGCTGATTGGTTTTTTCTTGCTCTAAATTAGAGCTTGGGAAACAATTACTTCCTTTTAGATCAGCTGTTATAAAGAATATCTACTTTCTGTACGACGAAGTGATGCAAAGGTTTTTGTTACATTTTGCAGATTGTGAACTGTCTCGTTACTAATCTTGAATTGTTGACACACAGGATTATCGACGTGTTCTTGCTGGAAGGGATGGAGATCATTTTCAAAGTGGCCATCTCCCTTCTTACCATCGGCAAAGAGGACCTCTTGTGTCTGGATATGGAAGGGATGCTAAAGGTTAGTATGTAAGCCTCATTGAAGGGAAAGATTGTTTTTTTAGATGTTAAATGGTTTTGGAATTGAAAACTGAAAATATAAGTTGGACATACAGTGTAAAAAAGGTAAAAGTTATATATTGCAAGACTAGTAATTTTCTGTACTTGCACCATGTCAGTAAATTGTGCTTTACAACTAAAACAACATAGTGTTTTTGTACAAAAATATAGCAAAGTAACCCGCTGCTGGATGTGATGGCCTTACAAGTATAGTGAGCCACATTTCAGGCACAAAAAAGATTTTAAGTTGGCAGCACTTCAAGTGTCCTTTACTTCCTTACCGATCAGCTGATATACACTATTATTGTTGTCAACACGGTTTAGTGTTAGAAATCTATTGTGAATAAGACAACATCGTGTTTTTGCAAGCTTATTGTCATTTACATAGACTATGGCTCTAAAATCGCTTACTTTGTTATCGATAAGCAATCAATCTTTACTTGTATTATTTACAAAAGACTAAAATATCTTGGGTTTTCCAGTTTTTCCAAAAAGACCTGCCGCCACGAGCGGACGCCGACCCTGACGGCCTGATGAGTCTGGCGTTCAACGTCAAGTACAATGCAAAGAAGATGAAGAAGCTGGAGAAGGAGTACACGGTGATGAAGATCAAGGAGCAGGAAGAGATGGTGGAGTTGAGGGTATGTATCAAACCTACAGTGATGTCCTGGGCTGCTGCATGTCTTCTGGCACTGCTCATCTGAATAAACCTCCTCTCACTGGCGCGTCTTTTTTCTTTACCTCCTGAACTGTCAAAAGATTAAGTAAGGTCCAGGATTTTTGGCTGAGCGCAAAGGAAACGAGATTCTAAAACCTTTGTAAGATATTAGGGATTGTCGAATTCAAATCTCGAATCTCGAATCCTAAGAAAAGATTCGGATTAGAGATTTGATTAACGAGATTTGAGACTGTATTTTTTTTTTATATAGAATTATAAGGCATATACTGTGACATTGCATAACCATAACGGTTATTGACGTTGTAATATACAATACTGTAACATTGACTTATTATAGAGGTTATTGAGTATTGACGTCGTAATAAACAGTACTGTGACATTGCCACTTTATGAACAGAGTATACTATCTATCGAATTCAAAATTAACAAGTGTACCTACAACAACCATAAATAACCAATAATGAATATTTGCTGTCCAAATCAAGTATACCGACCGACCGTTGGATTTAGGTTAATAGGTTAAAAGATGTAACCGATTAGTCGTCTGTTATTTTTGCCGTGTGTCAAAAGTAATTACTTAACTTTTCATTGCAAAGAGTAGTGATTTATGGTTAGTGTAATATTTATTTTTAAATGGTTCCTATTCCATTCTTGCTTTTTTAATCACCATAAGCTCATTTGTAATTATTTTTGGGACTCGAGATTCAAAGATTACAGATTTGATTTTTTTAGGATTCGCATTCGGATTCGAGATTTGAAATTCATGGATTCGACCATCACTATAAGATAGAGTATTAAAAAATATATTTTTGTTTTAATTTTGTTTTTTGTTTTTGGGTTGTTATCTTTTACATACACTCATGAGGGAAATACATAGAATACAAGAAGATGTATAAGCTTGTTGGTTTTTGTTGTTGCACCTTTTTACTAAATTAATATATCTCTGGAATTGAAATAACTCTGCATTCTAAAACCACTCTCAAGATCATTGTTATTTTATAAAGTGTTTAAAACACATTCGCTAACGATCGCCATATGCAAAGCTGCGGTCATTGCTACGGACCGAGGTATAAATTTTAATATTACACATAGTACAGTAACAGGTGTCACTTGGTTAACACGACCTGCAGACCACGGGCCAGGGATGCCTGGTCACTACTGTCTGTTTCAAAAAGCAATATACTCGAGTTGAACCTATGCTACAAAGTTATTAGTGATCAGATTTTTACCGTTTATGCATGAAAAATTTGCTTTTTTAATTCTACGTTACATCATATAAGTTAAAAAAATGTCCACATTCTTTAAAAAATTTTGTTATTGGCGTAGTGTAAAAAAACACGGGTTTTAGGCGATGCGTAAATATATTTTGACTTTAAAAATTCATACAAAGAAAACTATAAACTGCAGGACTTTGAAACTGTTATACAATGTTACTTGGTAACTTATCAACATTACACGTGATTTTCAGAATTTTGTCTTTGATAAAAAAAAGTTCTTGTAACTTTTGTGGAGCCTTGCTTGGTCGTATAAACTTCCAACAAGGTTCAAATTAAACCGGCGATAACGTAACAATTGAAAATATAAATTGATTTATGTACACTTCACTCTCTGATTTTATATAGATTGATAAATCAAATGTGGTCAGTGTGTAGCGGCGCGTAAGTAACGAGCGCCATTTCTCCCCGTTGGGACAGACTCGGGGGGAAAATGCGGGACTCGAGAAGCAGCAGAACGCGCTATGTGGACACGTCATGCAACCCCATATAGTTTAAGCGTGAAGTCACTCAAACTACAAAAGGGTTCTACAAGGAAACGTAGCATTGTCATATTGTTATGAGCACGTTTTGAAAGTGTATTTGTTATAGCAATTTTTAACCATTTCCCATCGCCTTTTCTCATGAGGGCTTTGGACCTCCAATGGCAGGTTTAAAAATGGATTAGCTCTTCATAAAAGATTGTCAGTCTATTTACAATGTATACATTAGGCCACTATTATTTACAACATATATACAATTTTTACATTTTTTTGCAATGAATAGAAACTATTCAATGTCAGAAAATAAGCTTTCTTCGGACGAATCAGTCACATCGGGATTGTCATTTGTTATTATTAAAGGCTGGACCTCATAAATGTGCTCCGTCAGTCCGTCTTTCTCCCAGTACTCGGCTTCAATCTTGTCTGTATGTGAAATACATTTCTTTCACAGTTGTGGGGTCACTGAACGAAGGGCTTCTTCACACAGGGTTTTCACTACCTCCATACTTCTTCCTTTTTCGGCAGCTTTGGCGATATTTACTTTTGCCACTTTCGATTTCACATACGCCCATATAAGTTCAATTGGATTCAGTTCGCAGTGCGCTACTGGAAGCCAAACAAGTTTAACATCGGGTCGGTGTTCCCTAATCAGTTGATCAACTATTTTTTCTGGAGTTCCAAAGTAAGGCGTAGCATGAACAATTAATTGTGCTTTGGTGAATCGCTCAATCGTGTGTGGTCCTAAAGGAAGTGGAACATTCTTCTTTACAATCCAGTCTATTATATCCGATCTCTTCCAGTACATATTTGGGTTCTTTGTTTCTGGATCTACCATGGTATGGTAAGGCACTTGATCGATGACAATTGCGGACCTTTCAGGTAACAAATGTAACACATTTGTAAACCACTCAGCGTAGTGACAAGCGTTCATTTCATTATGGTAATCACTTGTCCCTTTTTTCCGACAAAACACAACTCTGCTCCAGGAAGAAAACCATCTTTGTTGCCGATGTGGAGTATTATTATCCTCTTCCCGGCTCCTGATGGTATTTTAAATCCACCCCTCCAACCAAAAATCTCTTGAATGTGAGCCCGGTATTGGTCAAAGTTATTGAATTCGTTGTTCAATGAATCAAGAACTGACTCCTGCCATCCATGCCTCAAAGTGTGATTTTGCCCACACCAAGTTTCGTCTGTGTAGAATATATTGTATCCACTGGAGCAAAGATGTTTTACTTCTTGTAAATAGGTCCGTCTAGAAGCAGCAACAGAGTGAGATTCCATGAGTACTGGTTTCTTATTTAACTTTCTGTATCGAAATCCAAGTTTCCTTACTCTTCTATACAACGTAGTCTTGGAGATGTCAGGAAAATCTGGCATATTCTCCCTTAGAGATGCCTAAAGAAATTCAATTGTCGGGAACACTTTTCTCATAAAAAAAATCAAAAAATTGTTCTTCCAATCACACACAGAGTGAAGTGGTCGAGTTCAATTTTTGGTCCACGTTGAACGCATTGCTTCTTTCTTGATGTCGTTGGCGAAGGTTCGTTCTCGTGGTTTTCCTTCATGCTGGCACTATACTTCTTGACCGTAATCAGCGGTATTCCTAAACATTCGTGGACTTTTTGGTTAACCGGATACCTCTTATCATTTAACTTTTCACCCTCGAGTCTAAAAAAGACAATCGCACTGAGTATCATAGAAATCTCTCTCTCAGAGAAAGGCGCGGGCATCTTGAGAAGCGATGTTCACTCGTCAAAATTAACACTTTTTTTTATCAAAGACAAAATTCTGAAAATCACGTGTAATGTTGATAAGTTACCAAGTAACATTGTATAACAGTTTCAAAGTCCTGCAGTTTATAGTTTTCTTTGTATGAATTTTTAAAGTCAAAATATATTTACGCATCGTCTAAAACCCGTGTTTTTTTACACTAACAATACAATACACAATACACTACAATAACAAATTTTTTTAAAGAATGTGGACATTTTTTTAACTTATATGATGTAACGTAGAATTAAAAAAGCAAATTTTTCATGCATAAACGGTAAAAATCTGATCACTAATAACTTTGTAGCATAGGTTCAACTCGAGTATATTGCTTTTTGAAACAGACAGTAGTGACCAGGCATCCCTGGCCCGTGGTCTGCAGGTCGTGTTAACCAAGTGACACCTGTTACTGTACTATGTGTAATATTAAAATTTATACCTCGGTCCGTAGCAATGACCGCAGCTTTGCATATGGCGATCGTTAGCGAATGTGTTTTAAACACTTTATAAAATAACAATGATCTTGAGAGTGGTTTTAGAATGCAGAGTTATTTCAATTCCAGAGATATATTAATTTAGTAAAAAGGTGCAACAACAAAAACCAACAAGCTTATACATCTTCTTGTATTCTATGTATTTCCCTCATGAGTGTATGTAAAAGATAACAACCCAAAAACAAAAAACAAAATTAAAACAAAAATATATTTTTTAATACTCTATCTTATAGTGATGGTCGAATCCACGAATTTCAAATCTCGAATCCGAATGCGAATCCTAAAAAAATCATCAATCATCATATCCACAGACCAAGTGACAGACATCCCTGTAGATCACAGAGAATTCAGGTCCTTCAAATAAACCGTTACGAAGATATAAGCTTTTTAATAATATTGGGACAACAACAAAAATATGCGACGTCAGTCTATTTTATTATGACCAGCTGTTGCGTAGTTGTTGCATTTGTGCGTCGTTGATTCATGTGAATGGAAAAAATCGTGATAAAAATTATTTTAAAGAAATATTTATATTCCATCTATCGTTTTAGTCATGTTGTTGTGATATTTTACAGTTAATTGTCCACGGGAAAAAGTAATTAGCAATATGGCAAAGGATATCATATATTCTTTTAGGTTTTGGTTCTGGTACCTCACTTTTTAGAATAGCACTATGAGAATAAGCTATAGCATAGTCTTTGATTATTGTAGCAGTCAATTTTTGTTTTTAAACTGTTTGTGTAGGTAAATGATGTTCGTGTAGGTTAATGCGCTTTAAGTTAGAGAAACTTTATTCCTCAATCCTCAGTCATAAAATTCACCAATCCTTCTTTTGTTTTCTACTCAAATTAATGGTGAATCTCATCATACCGTGTTTAACCCGTTGATTGCTAACTACTCAATTCAGCTCAGTAGCCAGACTTACCACAGATGTACAGCACTAAGTCTACCATGCCAACATGCATTGTCCATTTTGAGGGTTTTTTATCAGGGGTGTTCTCATGAGAGCTGCTTCTTGAGAGATAAATCATTCTTTTTGGAGTTGCGGTATTTTTGTAATGTATTGCGGTATTGTCATTGTCGTATCCAGGACTCTTGGCCCATAATTTTTCCTGCATTAGAAACAACAAAAAGCCCCAGTACCTAGTACAAGCAACTAGTAACTGCCCAGTCCACCTGTTTATTTCTTGTAGAACTATGTCCACAAGTACTACAGTAACTTATATGCTACACTCTGGCTGTTTGACAGAATAGTATTTAAATATTTTCTTGCACTCACCCACACTCAGCGAATTGGCCGTTTACTTTTGCCCTGGTTAAATTTATATAATATAAACTATCATAACATTGAAAGAAGACTAGTATCTTTTTCGTATCAGGAACTGTGGTAGCTTGGACGTTTGGAATATTTTGATCCACTGAGCTCATTCGGGTCCCTGCATTTAAGCATTTCTAGCCTCTGGATGACCTTTATTTTTGACCACACATCACATGTCCGATGCTGACATTCATCAACAGATGACTGAAGGTTATGGCCCTAGTGCAATGTTGGGTGGGGGGGGGGGGGTGTAAAGTACACATAATGGGTTAGGGAGTTTAAAAATGGCTGTGAAAATGTCTATTTCGGAAGTAATTTTATTTTGGTGGATACCCAGACTTATTATTTTTTAGGTTAAATCCCTTTTTGTTGCCACTGTAATCCTTGGTCATCAGGATGGCGACCGGTTTTGACACTCAAGGTGTCATTTTCAAGTCTTAAGACATGCTCTCACTCCTAGGAGTTCGCCATCATGACACCTTGAGTGTCGAAACCAGTCGCCATCCTGACAACCAAAGATTACAGTGGCAACAAAAAGATATTTAAACTCTGGAAAAATATTCCTCTAGAGGTTATATTTTGGCAATTGATGAATACCTGAAATTAACTCTGAACACTGGCTCAAGATTATTGATTTCATATTACATGAGTAATAAAAATTCAGTTCAGTTTACGTTATGTTATACTTACAAAATAATCTTGTCGTCATAATATCTTGTTGACATACACAGTTGCTGATGGGCCGTAAATCTAAGCTGATGATCCAGCCAAAACATTTTGAGATAAATACTTGTATTTAGAAAGTCACCAACAATGGTCTCTGTGTACCACTACATACATGTAATTCAGAAAATGATCTAAATGTTTCTTCTGAAATGTGGTGTTTGTAAACCGGATATTATTTGGTCACCAATATTGGTATTTGTTTGAATTACAAAATATTAATAATACAATGGTAATACTCATTTGTCCTTCTTACCTTGAAACCATGTTATAAGTAGACACATTGCTCTTCGTATAACTTTTTCAATTCCTTCTTTGGATACATTTCAACCAATATTCAAACTTTCTATGACATAATCTCTTAAGCTACTCTTTTAGTATATCTTCCTGTAAATTCAATATTTTTTGTAAATAAACTAACATGTATACATATCACTTTCACCGTATTGTTACGTAACCGCACACTGAAGACAATAAAGACCAACGTAAACGATAAATTGAAACTGTAGAGTAACTGATAACAGTCAAGGTGATAACAGTTACACATGTTAGAAGGTAATTATTGTTCCATTGCTGGAATAAAAGTGTTGAAATTTCCCTTTTCCCTGTGTAATATTTGTTAAGTGTTGGCTACAATTCTCTCAACATGCGGTTTGGAGTATGGAAATTGTAATCAGGAATTAAATGTGCCTCATACTCGCTCTGTCAACTTTTATAAAAGTATGTACATCACACTTAAGAATTTGTTGACATTGATGTAAACATTTAGTATTTGAATTATCCAAAATACAGTCATGTGATAGTTAGTTATTCCCCATGTACGCTACCATCCAGAGAACGCTGATGATAAAAAAATGTCTAGTGACTGTATAGATAAAATTATTAATACCAGTTCTCTTTACTTGAGTGGTATACTTTTTTCATACTTGTTGTACGGGCTCAGAAGTTACAAGTCGTGGAATTATCAGCAAATGCCCACAGTCAGTGAGTGGCAAGATTTGAACAAGATCTTTAAACAGGGGTCATGTTTTCTAACCGCTACTCCAATTGTGTCCCACTCATAATACACAAGATAGTTATATGGTTATATATTCAAGTCATCTCATACAAGTGTTTTTGTCCACAGAGACTGAGATCAGAGAACCGGTTGTTGAGACAAAGAGTCGAGCTTCTAGAGGCAGAGAGCAGCGAACTGGCCGACCGGTTGGTGCGAGGACAGGTAAACTGCATTTTGTACTGTGCTGTAAATTTGAGTGGACATAGATTATCAAAATACAACTAAAATCCTTTTAATTCCCTTAGTGATGGCTGTAATGTGTAGGCCTAAAGATAGCCAAATGCTGTTTTTGTGGAAATACACATATAGCATATAGCTGTGGCTCGGGTGGCAGCATGAGATATTACCGATCCAAGGCAGCAATGTTGTAGTTTCGTGTCTCAATGCTGCCACTAATATTTATCAGAACGTTTCATTCTTGTTTTGTATCGACTCACCCCTTCCTTTTATTAATCGTTCACATAAGCTAGAGGCCCATGAGGATGCAAAAGTGTAAATAAAATTGAAAACTGGCCATCAACCTCATAAAAAATTGTTGTAGCGTAGTTTTTGACTAAGGCGAAGAGATTTAAGTAAATTTGTTTTAGTTGGCAGCATCATGTTCACTTTTAATCACTCCCTCAGTTACTTTTTCAAACCTGGCTTCTCCATTTTTAGTCTTATATCTTCTATGATACTTCCTCTACTGAATGCTAGAAGATTGTTTTTTTTTTTTTTTTCAAGATCTCATTGTGTCGTATATATTTATTCTATAATTTGTGAATTTTTAGTTGCTAGTTCCCCCTAATTGTTTGGTCTCTTCAGTACCTTTCTGCTATCACATACTTTTGTCGGATCATTTCTTAACAGTTATGATTGTTTGTTGTATAGGTGTCCAGAGCCGAAGAGGAGGAAACTACATTCGTGGTACAGAGAGAGTTGGCAGCCCTGAAACACTCTCATCTGGAGACGACTCATCAGCTGGAGCTGGCACATGAAGAGATTACTAAGCTGTCGTTGAAACTGCAACAGAATGTGAGTTAGAAATATTGTAGCATCCTGATGCAGGGCCGGATTTAGCATTTTGGTGCCCCTAGGCCCGAATAATTTTCCACACCCTAGTCACAGTTACTTTCCTTCAAACCTTTATTAAAAACAACTATAAGTTATCATGACTAGCCTATGGGCCTATGTTAATTGCTTGAATACCACTCCTCGTTGGAATTTTATCATTGCTTTTGAAGAATTGACTTGTTTAGCCTTAACAAAATGTCGTCTTGAACACTTAAAAATTTATGCTTTTAGCAAATGATTCTTACGATTGTGGGACTGAAACAAAATAGTCCAACCCACAGAGCATTCCTGCAAAAAAGCTTGTCCATTGATTCCAATTTCAGGTCCAAAAACATGAATGACATACAGTTTGTGATACTATAGATTAAACATACTCCTTTAGTAGATTTGTCATCCTTATGGATTAGCTGAAAACAATTCTTGTTATTTAAGTTATAACCTAATTTATCCAAAATAAAACAATCTAATCATAAACAATAGGTCGTCCCCTAGTTATAGTACAAAAAATTAAAACACACATCATAGAACTAACCCTAAACAAATTACGTCAAAACTAACTACTCCCATAGAACCAATGTTCGTCACCAATGTTGTAATTCGTTGATGCGTAATGATAAAAAATAGTAAAAATTTTTTACCAATTATTTCTTCCAATGAACTTCAAAATCCGAATGCTTTATGCGCCTTTATTTTTTAAATCAACTCGCAAAATATATTAAGCTATGACTATTTATTTTTGTTTTGAGATATTACAAAATTTTTCCTCTCGGCCGTGCACCCTCTTAGAGCTCGCGCCCGGGCCTACCAGGCCTATTGGGAAATTCGGCCCTGTCCTGTGATGTTATTCTTACAAATTTTTCCAATCTTTCTCAAGTTTCTTACAGGTAAACTCTACGGCAGATGCGTTTATATTGATAATGCTACAAATTGAATTTGCTTCCTTCGTGATGGCAACATCCATAAAAGTTTTCCCCCCACTCATGTAACATTAACTCCCCTGACTTTATTGAAACACATGATTACCTCTCTTCCACCCTGACAGGGTCTCCAGGGCTTTTAGGTTATAAATATTCATATATTTATCAAGAAATAATATATTAAACACATTTTTAACACATAAATTGAAAGACATAAATAGTTTTCCCCCAAATCGGGCCAAACCATCCTTTGTTTTGGAATTTGCTGTTTTTAAACTCATTCCTTCGTTAATAAAAAAAATTCAAAAATATATAGGAATTCAACTGAAATTACAGATCCATATTCTTAACTAAATGCTTTCTCTTAAGGTTCATAACATAACTTAGTGCCACCCTTTTATAGCTTCCGTGTTTGAAATTACAGAAATTAAAGCTATCACTTTATAGCTTTCATGTTTCATACATCATGTCTATGTCATTTAATACATCTGTCTCTGTTTTACAAATTACGATGGTATACAGCAGTAAAGTATAAAAAAATAGTTTGAAATATTTCACTGATTCTGCGTCACATGCCACCTTCCTACTGGGCTGTCATGATGAAAACGTCTCAAAGCATAGCTGTGTCTCGTCAAACCTAACCTAACTGTGTATGTTGTAGGACAACTCGTGTCAGTCGTCGCTGGAGGAGATGACAGCCAAGGAGCAACAGTTGTGCCAGAAGGAGGAGTTGGTGGCTTGTCTGCAAGCCCAGCTGGTCAAGGAGAGGCTGCGGCAGGCGGAGAACGACGCGCTCATCCGAGACCTGCGGGCGCGTATACAGGAACTGGAGGAGGTGTGTGTTCTAAAGTTAACATTACATTTTATTGGTTCAAAACTGGAGTTATCCTTTTGCTTGTAAACAGTCCTGGCTAAAAACAAACTGCTTATTTTATACAGTAACAGATCTATACAAAAAAACACTGAAAATTTATGAAAAAATGTTATTGCAAAATAAACTTTCCTGATAATTAGTAAGTTGCCTGCTCAATACTGAGAAGAGTTAAATTCTATTGATAGTTCAAAACTAGACTTAATTGTTGACTTAAGCATTTTTTAATACTTTATTTGTAAGCTTTTGTTTTGTAAGGGGATAGGTAGTTAAAACACTGGTCTTATTAGTATTTAATGACAAGCTTGTGTTAGGTGGCATCATTAATGCAGCCTAATAATGAGTCCAGAATTGATTATCATAGGAATCGAATCAGCTACCTTCAAATTTCAAGGAAAACATTTTCAACAAGGCATTTTACTAATTTTCATTAACAAAACTACAAATTGTATCACACTCATCCCACACTTATATCTCACTCGTAAGTGGATTGAAATACAGTTTAGCTTTTTCCCCAACTAGATTAATGTTTCAATAAGGATTTTCTCACTAATTGTGCTTCTCATACTAGATCTATAGTGAAAGATCCAGTTTTTACTAAACCAATTAGTTACCTCTAGAAGCAATGATAAAAGTCAGTTAACAAAGACCCTCTCCCTGTATCGCAGGACAAGAAGACATTGAGGGAGTCTACGGTAGACAACTCCGTGGCGCACCTGCAGGAGGAGTTGATCGCAGTCAAGTTACGCGAGGCCGAGGCCAACCTGAGCCTGAAGGAGTTGCGACAACGGGTCACAGAGCTGGGACAACAGTGGCAACGGCATCTTCAGGTGAGACAAATATGCACTTAATTAGGCAGTTTGTTTGTTGAGCTTTTAAATGATGAAAAAATTGCTAAACTTTAATATGGACTGTTAAAGTGTTTGTCACTTTTTCTGTGTCCCTATATTTTGTGTAAGATTTATCCAGCCTGTTGTCATTAATTGAGGGAATAAATTTAATTTGGTTTTGTAAATACATTCTATACATTTTTAATCAGGGAGGATTCACTAACAGTTAAAATTTTAAAGGGTTGACACTCTGCCTAGGTTATAATGTTTGTGGTGCCATCAAATGAGTGGTTCATCACTTGGAATCATGTTAGAATTTGTACAGTAATTTCATTAAAAATCTATTGATGCAAAGAAAGTGAACAGATTGTTCTCTCTATTTGGCAAAAATTCCCTAACAGATTTTAAATAACTGCATTACACATGCCTTGCTTAAGATATTACTTACTTGTCTACAGGAACACAGAGTAGAAACTCCACCTGCTCCAGACTCCACACCTAAGAAGATTGTCAGCAACCTCCTGTGGGACAACCGAGGACATGAGGTCCAGAGACTGGAGGAGGAACTGATGACTACCAGGGTCAAGGAAATAGAGGCCATCACGGAGCTCAAGGAGCTCAGACTCAAGGTGGGGTCACTCTGTCAGTTTGATAGTGCACTACGTTAGCAGTCACATAAAACACACATAAAAAGAGGTTCATCAATTTATAACTATTGCAACTGACTTTTGACTAACAAGCACATAATTGGCTCAGTAAATTATTTCTAAGCTCTTGAAATGTAATGTCAATTATGTTTGCACTAAATTCTGTTAAAGTTTGTAACTCTTACTACAAACAAAACCATTATAATTACTACTAGAGCTCGCCCCGTGGTCGAAGACTCGACCAAAAGTATGTATTGTGCAAACTTCTCTATTTTCACCCCAAGTTGTAAATAAAACATGTGATTGGAATTTCTTCCATTTGTTTTGATTTTCTGTTTATATTTTGTTGTTGTTTCGTTCGCCAACATGGCAACCCATAAGGCCCATGTTATTTCTTTATATTTAAATTCATTTTTTGTGCTTATTTTTCAGCTTATTTTAATTTATAAAAGGATTCTGCACATCTACATGCAAATGTCTTTCTAACAGTATGCATAGATTTTCCCTGCGATGCACACGAGCTGAGAAAAGGGTTTTCAATAAACATGCTTGTCTAATAATATATAGAATTAGCCCATGTTAAATCTCCATAAGAAAAGTTGAATTTGCATTTTTGACCCAACTAACATAAATATTCTTAAAACACAAATAAAACCTGCACATATAGGACTGATAACCTTTCTTTTGGTACAACCCGCGTGTAATTCGGTCCAGTTGTCTGGTCACGCTAGCTGTCAAAAGTTTTTTTATATATATATGATGTTTTGTGGATATAAGAAAGTAACAAGGAAATACTATTGTCTGACAACCTCCTTGTGTACCCAAGGTGATGGAGCTAGAGACCCAAGTACAAGTGTCAGGTAATCAGCTACGAAGACAAGACCAGGACATCAAACAGCTGCGGGAAGATCTGGAGTCTGCTGCGGCCAGAGAGAAGGAGGCTGCGGCCAAGCTGCGGGAACAGCAGCACAGATACACCGACCTAGAGTCTAAGGTGAGGGATCTGCAATAGGGGATTTCATGCCTTTAGTTCAGAGTCATTTCTGTTAATTTTTACAAACACTCGCTATTAGGACAGTACTTAATAATAGGCAACCGAGTGGTAGTGCTCGCCTTCAAATGTGAAGGTTAATGGTTCAAATCACAGTCGATTCTAGGACGCAGGGACTATTTGTCATTTGGTTATTAATTAATTATGTTAGCTGACAAAATATCAAAGTTTGATTAAAACCCTGATTTCGGACTGTTTTCTTGTAAAAAGATAAAAAATGCTAATGATATCAAAAATAGTAAAATACAGACTCATGAATTATCCTAGCTAACAAGGGTGTGTAGTAATTTTTCCTCCAACTGTCCATTTGAACTACATTATTGGTATTTTACTAGACAGAGGTTGTTATAGATATCAAATCAATAACATTGTAGTTATGGATTTAGTTGTTGAAAGTAGACATTCAGTTCCACTGTGCAATCAAACAGTTTTAAAATTATTCAAGGTTTTTATCCAACTTATAGATTAGCAATCTCCTGTGAATTTAACAGCTTGGTTGAAGTGGATCGGCAAAATTAATTGGAATATCTTATAAAATATTTACTCAATTGAAATCAATTAGTTTTCAAAAAGATCTTGAAAAAGCTAAATTTGTTCTCGACAGATGAAAGATGACTTGATGATGTCGAGGATACGAGACGCCGAACATGCTCAGCAAGTAGCAGAATTGGCACAGAAAATATCTCGCCTGGAGCTTAAGGTAATTACTCAATTAGAACATTTTCCTAACTTAGCTTGATTTTTTTGGAATCTTTGGTTTCCATTTTTCAATATTTTAAATACTTGTCATGTTCAGGTTTATTTTATATTTGTAATTTGTTTTATATGTGCACTATAAGCCGCAGACATTTTAGTGAACTGATTTTAATTATCAATAGCTAGGTTAGAATAGAAGACTTCCGCACAATTGAAGTAGAAGTATTTAATCTATTTTGACACGGTTGTCATCCGAAGACCACCCACTGTTTATGCTTTATTTAGAAACTAATTTATTGATTTTGTTGACTTCAGAACTCGGAGATGGTTGCGGAAGGAGAGCTTCGAAGTAATCTCGACGATAGTGATAAAGTTCGAGAACTTCAAGACAAGATGGCCGACATGAAAGCTGAGGTAAGCTAATCGCTGTTTCAATTCTCACAAATCACAACACAACGCTTACTCACTCGGCTGCTTTACGCTCAAATGTCACTTGGACTTGTCTCACCTTTTACCGTCAGTGATGATCACATTGGGTCACTGTGAGCTTAGAAATATTAAATTTAGCTGGTTTACAAGTGTGTTAATCAGCCAGGTTACTAATTTTATTATTGAGTGTTTTAATTACTAATTTGCAAATATTTATGAATTATAATTTGCCAATTTTCAGTAGTACTAAGACTGCCTTGTGTCTTTAAGGTTTGTTTTGTTCAAGGAAATGCCAGGATTTTAAATTTTACAATAAAGGAAGCAGTTAGCTTATTTATGCTGGTAGGTAATAGAACACATAGAAGACATGTAAATCGCAAAATATTTCACCCCCTGGAGGATTTCTCATTTGTATAGAAAGAGAGTGCAACTATTTTATGAACTCTATGATAAACTAGCTGTGATCCCCATTTATTCTATAATATAAGACTGACTTATATCAATAACTGTCTGGTGGCATTACTTCATCAACAAAAACACTACTATTAGCTATTATTTATCAATTGATTCATAAAGACACTAGCTTACAATGTTTTCATTCTACTTACCAAATTAATTGTGACTCTTATCGACAATCTTTTTCACAAGACTCCTTGTTCTCTCAAAGCAATATGAACACAATGAAGGCCATATAGATGACTAACACCTTCGAATGTTCTACTATGTTTGTTTTGTTGATAAGAAGTATCAAGTTTTACTCCCAATTCAACTGAATGTTGAATGTACTCTTTGTTCAGTTGATTAATGTAAATAATAAAAACATATACACTTTACAATTAGAGTTGATAAAATGTATTTATTCATGTAGCAAATATTTCCATGGCAGTTCTCTGAAATTTGGATTAAATAGATTGTTTTTTGGGGTTTTAAAGAAAGTGGAGAATCAATAAGAAAATTAAGATCGTGTTCCTTATTGATAATTTGAATACTATAAAATAACAATGCCACCATACTGACTGTTGCATTGACATAAGCAGCCTAGTTTCATGTCAACATCAGCTGTGTCTGCCTCTCGTTTGACCAGTACTGTTTGCCGTCTTTCTCTTGGTATCAATTTAATAGTCATTATGGCACCTTTCCATCATATCGAAATTGTTTCACTCATAGTCATAGTTATAGTGATAGTCAAATTTATTTATTCATCTTGTATATACATCCATAAATAGTGTCACAATAAGGTAAAATAATGATAATCTTAGGAATCATTATTCAGACATCACAACATTTCTGTTTTATCTGTAAAAACCGTGAGGACAGTGCTGCCGGATGACCACTGGACTGTCTGTTCAAGCAGTAGGGACAGCCGATGTGAAATTGAATATCTCCGTCGAACAACGTTGCAAACTACATATTTTGTTAAATTGATATTTTAAAAGAAGAACAATGCAAAGGACAATGCAAAGCTTGGGATATTTCGTTTTTAAAAGCACAAAAGTTGGCAGCACTCACAAGAGATTGAATGCCGGGAACTGGCTGTGTTGGCATCAACATGACCAGAAAGAAAGTCATTTGCAACGTTGTTTGGCGGAGGTGTTCAATTTATCCGAGCTGCTGTGCAAAAGTGTACAACAACCCAACTAGAAACGACAAACTAAAAAAATTGTTTTAGATCTCAAATAAATCAATAAGGTAAAAATGTAATCCCACCATTTATTTAGTACGAAGAAAATAAAGTACTTCATACTTTACAACAATAACAATACTATGAGGAATGTATACAATGTACATACATGCTTGTTGTACATAACCGATGTTTTCTCAGTTTCCGACACCAACGAGTCCCGACTGTGAACCCTGGAAGTGGCTTGAGTAAGTCGGAAAACATGTAAACATGTAAAGTAGCATGTGAAGTAAATGTAGCATGTAAACCAACTTTATTTTTTGTTTTGCCGTTTCTTGTAGTTTGTGTGTTAGTTGGTCCTCAGTATTTGTTTGGATATTTTGTCATGATTGAGATTTATTCTATTAGGCCTACTATTACTATTACTAATACTTGATTAATAGCAAACTGATCTCGTCAATGCTGACTTAAAACTAACATAAATCGAGTATTATATATTTTTTTAAGCACAAGATGCTCGAGTAACTGTTTTTTGTGCCATAATTTTGTAACAATTGTGATTTCTAATTACAAGTGTTCCTTGCGGTATACTTAAATCTTAATCACTTAATTGTTTTTACTGTTCAGTTTTGGTTTCTTGTTGAGATTAAATTGTGTAATTTTCACTTAGACATTTGAAAGTGTTTACAATGTTTATCTATGATTTGGTTATTTTGTATTCTAATTTCTTTGTGAGATGTATGAGATTGATCAATTTGATGTTTTGTTTTTAAAATTATTTTGTGGCTGATTTTGTGAGTAGTATCATGTTGTTTTTCATTTTGTATTTAGTTTCATAAACTTTACTAGCAGAACTAAGACTTCTAAGGTGGCCTCTCAGGTCCAATTTAGTAATTTTTATTACTCTTATACCGATTCCGTTTTGTCCTACTATCTTTATCCAATTTTATTCCCCTACTGAATGTATACCAAAATTGTCTCATTTAGTAATCTTCGTCAGTTGTGAAATCCAGTACCGTAGTTAATTTTATTTATGAGATAAATTAGTGAATACATGATGGATGCAGCATCTTCACTTAAATGGTTTTATCTGTTGATAAGATATCAGTAAGTGGCTGTTTACTGTACTTCCTTCCTGTTTATCCCAGCTCCCCAGATAGTTTGAGATCACTGTCCTGTGTGTTTGTGTATTTTAGAGTCATTCCAGTCAATACGACTATCAGTTAGCTCTGGGAACAGTGTATTGTTGTAACCAATTCCATTTAAAAGTTGACTCTCTAGGATTGGATTTCTTCGTAAACTTGACTAACTCTAGATCAAACACTAATAACATCTTCAGATCTAAATTTTATTCATAGGAGAGCAAGTACTTATCAAATATTTTTTCCACTCGGAATCCTTCTCATCTAGTTGTATGAATGTAATTAGAGAGATTCTTCATGAACTTAATTGATTCTATTTAAACTCAAAATAAAATTTGTAAATCTCCAGCGCTGCTCATAGAAGATTGTTTACCTAATAAAATTATTTTTCCGCTTTTTTGTAGATTTTTTAATCTCTGTATACACATTTTGTTTTGAGTAGAATGTAATGTATTTTTTGGCGTAAGAACAAAAGCTTGTATATTTAATTACCTCTCAGTTTCAGAAAACATTTCAGTCAATCAAATTTCTTAATAACTGACTTTCAACTTAAGAAAAAATATGGGAAAAGGTTTGAAAAGAGAAAGTATAAAATTACTATAAGATTAAGTTCGCTGTGTTTTTAGCTTTAATGGATGTATTTTGTTTATTGTTTTCAGTGTTCTGTAGATGTTTGTGCTTCCTGCTCTCCAGCTTTAGTAAAACTAGTGTTAAAACCTGTAGGGTGTTTATATTTGTTATTCTTGTTTACTTGTTTATTGTTTTAAGTAGTAAAAAAAAACTGCCATCCCAGTTGTATGCTTGATTCCCTTTTGTTCGGATTTTGGATTTTTTGCAAAACTTAGCTTTTGATTTACGTTCTCAATACTTTGTCCATAACCGTGTAAACATAAATAACAATTACAACATATTTGTATATTGCTATCATGAATGTATAAGTTTTATTAATTTCCATAATTATTTTAGCATAACACTGTACTACTGGACACGCAATGAGTGGTTTTGGGAACCATTCATTCTTGTATGAACTTGTTATGGTTCAGTGAAGGTGTAAGAGCAAGACATACTTTACTGTATGATGATTGTTTACACCAATTACACCTTGTAAAATATATATTGTTATCTCTTCGGATTTGATTGAAATTTGTGAGCTCAAGTTTCCATTGGAGTCACGTAGCGACAAATTTAATTTTGAGAAAGGTGTGAATTTCTACTGTGTTAAAAGCATATTTTCCACTGACTGCACCCTTATGGTACGCTCTCATTTAAATAAGTTCTATAGTTGTTTTTACCCAGCGGCACATTTGCTAAACAGTTTTTTTTTTTTTAACAGGTATTAAGGCACACGTCAAAAACACAAATCCCACGAGATTAAAAGCAATCGTAACTTACAACTCAGACTGCAGTAAAAAATTATTGAAAAATTAGCTGATCTGTACAGGTGCAAGAGTTCTGAATTTTCATTTCAAAATCTGACTTAAGTCCAACTATGTACAGTAAAAGCAAATTTAGCTACTTCAAACTTATTTGGTAACATTATAGTGCCTTAACCTGTTAAATTCTAATGTTTAAAACCAAATATCAGCTTAGAAATCTGCTAGAATCTAAATTACTAAGTAAATTATTTAAAATGAAAGGCTATTTTACCTTGGATTCTTGTAGAAGTAACAAGCTTTGCTTATATTGAGGTTTTCAAAACATTGAACATGCACACATTTGGACAGAATCACTTAATAGAACACATAAAATTGCTAATATTTCGTGCATCCAAATTTAGGAAAAAACTATTTTACCTTCCGATTATTTTTTTAGACGGTACTTTATAATTTTCTATTGTTTCAGATCATGAGGTTAGAGTCGTGGAAAGCCCGACACACAGATGGCGGGGCTCCGCTCCCCTTCCCCCGCTCTGGGTCCGTCGACACAGAGAGTGAACATGACGAACAAGACTTGCAGCTGCAGCCCCCCACCTAACACCAGTACTACCCTCAATGCCTACGACAATGCAAACTCGAGAAAATAATTTGTTTAATAAGGCTGTGAAATCGGTCCATTCAGGAACGCAATTTGTTTCAATCAACGGGATCCAGACAGATTAAAATAGGGGTGTTTCTTCAAAAGAAAAACCCGGTTTTAAGGTTTTGAGCAGAATCGCCTAGGGCGTTTTTTACTAATAAGGAAATAATACTATGATAGTAATTTTATCCATGTTTAGGAATTATTATCGTAATCGTAAAAAATATTATTAATCTTAACTAGAGTGAATTAATCAAACCATTTGAAATCTTAGCAAATTTAAATATTTGTAATTAACCTCAAAACAAGGAGTGATAGGCTACAAAGTTGCTGTTAGACAAATTGGAACTGAACATGAAGATAGACTAAATTTTAAAACTACCCATCGTTACAGGCAGCTTAATTAACTTTTCAACCAACATAAAATATAAAATGAAGTGCCTGTAAGTTGTACAGAGAAATCTAGCTTTACTCATTCCGATATAAATATTGTTGCTTTTTACCAATTTTACTGCGACTGACGAATTAAAATGTTGTGTGACTGTGTTTCACTCCTACAAAAAAATGAGAAAATGTGTCAAGAAAGACTACTTTGTGAAACTGTGCTTGCAGGGTCTTTTCTATCTGTAAATTAGACGAACATACTCTTCGAAATATCAATCTATAAATGGTTATTGTAGAATTTATACTCGATATCGCAGTATTTTGTTTACTATAAACTAGGTGTAAGTTGTACATTTCTATTAGTTATAACTATTACTCTTTTGTTCCGTCCCTTATTTAACACGTAATAAATTATAGATTTTCCTTATTTAATTATTATAGTTTAAAATGTATCCGATGCTCATAATGGTGTGATCGTAATGTAACGTAGGAAACGTAAGATTAGGCGTTGCATGATTAGAGTGTTGTATGTCTATGATATAATCGGTATGTCATGTAAGATTGTAAATAGTAGAGAAATTTTACATAAATCGATGTTGCCCTGTTAGAGATCTTTATATGTGCAATGTAAAGGCACCCTGTAATATTCTTTTATCTAACACTTTTAAATATTGATTTTTTATATTTTACTCTGAAAGAAAGATGCAGTGTGTCAAATTCAGCAATGTTTACCTACAGCAACCCTAACCAATCCATAGTACCTTTCATACATTCATTAATATTAATTTGGGTTAAGTTGACTCTTTATTTATGCTTTAATACTTTTTGCGTACAAAACATTCATCATTTTGGACCTCACACAGGATATTATATTATTTGAGTTTGTGTGCTGTTCATTGTAAAATCTTTCCGACAGCTTCAACTCTACATTCACACCCGACACCCGACACCCGTCATATCCTCCAGTAAGCTAGTTATCACCTCGGGTGACTCATAGTATTTATTAGATGTAAGTTTATGTTTGTGATAATTTATTAGGGACTTGGCAATATTCGGTTCACCCCGGGACCATGTAATTAGTTCAGCAATACAGTTTAGTGTGTTGCCTACTCTTACTTTTCTCCTAGTTTTCAGCTTATTTTAACTTTTCGAACAGGTGTAAACATTTTGAGTAAATTGGTAACAAATTTCCAATTTACAACTGATTTAATCAGTGTTGAGATTATTCCAAATAACCAAATTGCCAATTTTGAAAGTGGCTTATAAATTATAAAATGTCAGTTTGGTATAGTGTTTTTTTTGTCATTTAAATGTTCAACCCTACAATTTTTAAATGGTAATGAAAGTGCTCAGAGATTTGTCAGTTTTACATAGATTGGGCCAATAATAGGAAGATAGTGAAAATTAAATATACATTATGTTTTTAAGCAACTGATTGTTTGACTTTCAGTATTCTCCAAACTCAAGATACTTCCATCAGAATAGAATAAACATATTTACTATTGGTCACAAGTTAATGTATGAAAATTCCACAAGTCTTAAACAATCAATCATAAAGTTAGTTTTGTAACACTACTTCACATTGTTTTTGTAAACCCTTTTACTATTTAGTGTTAATTATAAAGCCAAGAAGTATAGTACTATTACCAAAGGCAACCGTTTATTACTTTTTTTAAATTTTATTATAAGATTATTTTGAAAAAGTTAATAGTTTTTTTTATGAATTGTTAAAAGAGTAGGCCTTTTTAATACTTAAAATTGTAACTCTAAATCAAAGAATTAATATTTAGAGTAACTGTACAAAATGAACTGGAAGCATAGATGTTTGTACTTATTGAATTGTATTAATTTTTACTATGTCGTACTAAATGTATTTTAAAGACATTCGTTCTTTTGTAACAAATTGGATAACTTTTATATAAGTTAAAAAAACTATTTTATTCTTAATGTGATAGTTGTTGGGTTAAAATGAACCAATAAACCTTCATCATTCCAAGTATCACTTATTGTGTCCTACTTCCTGTATTTTGACAAAAATCTTTCTTCCTCATATCCTTGATATTTTCAATTGAACCCGCTATGAATTAATTTCATTTTTAAAACATGAGAGATGACTCGTGGATTTTTCTGGGCAAACTGCCGTGGGTCTGCGGTATGGGTATTTATACCGCCTCGACAGATACACCGGTAGCTGTATGGTAGGGTGACCACACTGGCGCGGTATGCTGTACGCGGTACTTCTATCAATCGATCAGTAGGCTAACTCAACTGACAACTGCTTTACACTGAGAATATGGGTACCGTTGAAATACCGGGCAGAAAAAATTAATAGAGCATGCAGCATTTTTGCGGTACTAGGGTAAATTGTATCGAACGGGTGGCGGTATACCGCGCAAGTGTGGACGCTCCCATTAACTAACGTTGTTCTAAAATACCTGGCGGTTTACCTGTAAGGCATACAGCGTCGGGCGGGTCTTAGTGAAAATATAGATTGGTATCTGTCAGAAACTGTTTTAGTTAACTCAGATTTAAAGATAACATTAAATGGAGAACTTCAACTAGTTTTTAATGACATTAAAAAATATTAATTCCAATGTTTTCAAATATGGGGGATGACTTTGAATTAATTTTATGGATTAATAATATGGACTTTTTTACTCTTGGCATTTTCTCTCTAAACCTACTGGTTTAGGAGCTACAGCGTGTTAAACTTTGAAAAATTAGCTCATAGTCATTGTCATTAGCTTTTTTCAAAGTTTAACACTCTGTAGCTTCTAAACGATTAGGTTTGGAGAGAAAATACCAGGAGTAAAAAAGTTTTTAAAAATTCCCTATTACCACTATTCACCACAATAATAATGCACACTGATAGTCAAAACAACTACAACTTTGAGGTTATGTGAAGAAATAATTTGAGGAATCAAATAATAAATAGTTGCTAGGCAGCGGTGACAATAAAACAATTCTATTGCAATGCTTTGGGTACTGATTGTGTATTTAATATGCATTCATGTTTTAAGAAAGTAAGCGGGCAGCTGATTTTGGGCCCTAGGGGTGTAAAAATCTGTACTTCCCCAAATGACTATGACAGCTGACATGGCCAGCAAAACAACAAACAGCTAAAAACATCATGGTGTGGTGAAAAATTCCTTGCAATTTGGAATTAAATAATTTAAATAGTGATCAAAGTAAAAGAACATAATGTTTTTATTATGTTTAAATAGATATGTATTCTCCATTGGAAATATTAAAAGATTAGGTGGTATCTATGAAAGACTGGGGGATGAACCCATTAGTCAATATCGAAAAAGCCAGTAAGTAAAGCTTACAGTAATTATGTTTATGTAGGTAGATGATACAAAATGTCAAATTATGTATATTTATAAAATTCCAATTGTTTTTCCAAGCCAGACTATAGATTAACAGGGTTGTTTTCTCAAAAGCTATTTTTCAGCAAAGTTGATGAAATGGGGAACTCATTTAGGTAAACAAGAAACCTTAATCCCTAATGAAGGCTTTCCTCTCTTTGTTTCTTGTGCATTACATCACTCAAAGGATTCACTAATAACCTTGGAAACAACTCAACTCCCTTTGAAGGTAACTCATTTTTTGCAGATTAAATGAGGGGTAAATAAGTATTGAGTACTTGTGTGTTAACAGTTTGAAGTTTGCTCTTTGCCATTTTATGGAGGAAACATTTATAGTGTGTATTTCAAATGTATAAATTTTGTTTATCATGTTTAAGGTGGTACTACTGCAACTCAGAGTGATACACTAATGAAAGCATTTATTTTGGGAGCACATTTAAAACTTTAACTCAATCATATATTCATAGATAGTTAGTTTGCATTACATGCACTAAAAATAAATATTCATAATTTAGTAAATAAAAAAATGGAAATTGGATATTAATTACTTAAAAATTAAAAATTTCTGAAGGTTGGTTTTAAGGTTATCCATTTACATAAATTTCTTTTTGAGCGGACGTCGACCCCTATGCATTTTGTCATACACTTTTTACTTCCCTTACTTGAAATAATTTGTATCTTCTGTATTTAAATCACTCCATAGTAAATAGAAATTCCCTTAGTCTGCAGGTTTGCTGTGGCAGGGGGGTATATTTTACATTTTCCTGTGATTTTTTTATTATTTTTCAAACTATTATTAACAGTTAGTAGTATGGCAATTTCTACAGTGTTACAACCAATTAATCTTTTTGTAAATGGCTCATTCCAAAGCCAATATTTCTTGAGATGTTTTACTACAGTTTGTTTACTGTCTGTAGTTTAACAGAGACAACTGTACGATGACCAAGACTTAGTTAGAGTCGTGGTTAAACACAATGTTGACATTAAAACAAGTGTGTCAGGGTCTTCCCGCATGTGTACGCTTACTAAACATCTAAATGTTTCATAGTGTTTCACTGTTTACAAATGTTTCCTTTTAAATCTTCGTCCTCTCAAATCAGTGGCGGTCCCAGGATTTCATTTCAGGGGGAGGATGACCACCGGGGGTTTTGGGGGGTATGGAATATCCCCCAGAAAAAGGGGGGTCCGAGGTACCTCCCCAGAAAAAATTTGGAATTTAAAGCCTAAAAACGTATTTTTATACGTATTTGAGCTCTAAAATATGCTCAAGCTAATAGTATTTATGTTAGCTAATAAAATATAAAATATTTTGGGGGGAAGATATATCCCTTCCCTCCTACCCCTGGCACCGCCACTGTATCTAATAGGTGGTGTAGTAAGAATTGTATGGGGCGATTTATTTCAATTTTTCTTTGCGGTAATATGGGATTTTTGAGTCACCTATTATGAATTTGAGACAAGCTTCACTAAATAACTCCTAAGAGAACCTACATCATGTAACTGGTTCTAAACTTACGTCAAGTGAGAAAAACCAATTATACAAAAATAACACAAATACTTTTAAATTCTAAAAATATCTTCCTTTTCAGAGCTAAATCCAAGATGGAAAACCATTGAAACTCACTTGTGTTATGAAGACCAAATAATTCTCCAGAAAAGGAAGGAACTTTGTTGAATATGAAAAGACAACGGATAGTTGTGTCACAAGTGTTGTTTTTGTTTAGAAGAATCATGGGATATGTTAATACAACAAGTGCATATATAACCTCTATGAAATACAAACTTCTACAGAATAAGCTATAATGTTAGTCATTCAGCCACCCTGCATCCCCATACCACTTAAAATAATTGCTGTCTTAATGGAGTGAACATTGAATACCTAGTTAAATATTACAAATTCCATTAATGTACAATAATTGTTTAGGCTACATTGCAAACTCTATTTTAATCAACAGAAAGTAAAAAACATGTCTCATAACACTGTTAAATCATATACAGTATCTCTTCTACACACTTTTAACTCACAAGACAGTTAACACATAAAACATATGATAAAGGTGATTTATTTCAATCAGACACGACAATTAGACCCAATCACCACTTTGCTGTTTTATATATTAAGTCTTGTGAGTTAACAGTACACACACACACACATGTTTCAAAACAGTTATTAGACATATTTTTACACTTTATAAATTAAACTAGCTGTACCCGCGGGCTTTGCCCCGTTTAACTTCATATGTGAGCTCGTTCGCATGGCTCAATCACGTCCTGGTTGAAGTTCGTTCGCTACGCTCACTCACCTTTACGGTTGGAGCTCGTTCGCTGCGCTCACTTGCCTTCAGGTTAGCTCGTTCGCTACGCTAACTCGCCTCCGGGTTGAAGTTCGCTCGCTACGCTCACTCACCTTTTGGTTGCAAATTAGCTGTTGTCATTAATTTAAAAAAAATAATAGTGCTGCACTCTGTTGGTAATCCTTGTAACTTTAATGCTATTGAATATCACAGAACAGAACCAACTTGTTAAATTGAAACAGCTGTTATGATTCATTGATTCCATTTAAATATGAGTACTCATTAGGTTAACATGGGAAACTCCAGAGCCACTGGGGCGGAGCCCGAGAGTCCGATCAGAATAAAAACCACTTAGTTTTCCTATTTAATGCCTAAAGAATCAGTGTACCGAATTTCAGCCTCCTAGGTAAGTGGGAAGTGGGAGAATTAGTGATGAGTGAGTGAGTGAGTCAGTCAGTCAGTCAGTCAGTCAGTCAGTCAGTGAGGGCTTTGCCTTTTATATATATATATAGATAACATGTTTAAAATACCTAAGGAGTTATTTTATTCAACTGTATTTCACTGAATCAATGTACAACATTATCTACATCAACATTACTAGCAACAATGTTTCAAAACACCTGAGTGTGTTGAGAGAGGTGAGGAATAGCAAGAAAGTCATAAATTCCAATGAGACAGTCTCAATAGCGATTCACCAACAAATACTGCAGAATACTTGCAAAGTTACACGGAATAACCATTCAGAAAGTTATCCTCAGTGATTTATGCCACAGAATGTGAAATCCGCTCTTTCTCTGTATGAGTTTGAAACTGTTGTTCTATCCTTGGTAAAACGTAAATGGAGAAGTAATTTACACTTTCTTTGGCTTGTAAAATATAAAATAACATTCTAAGGTTATTCTTTGCACATTCGAAGGTACGGTTGGATAATTTTAAACAAGCAAAAACGCCTACTTAGACATTGATTGGACATGTACTGAAAACTATTTTATGCTGTTCTGATTTACAATAGTTAAAGACTCCACTCTGTGCTCTGACCCAGAAGCTTTTTAATCCGTTTTTTTTTTTTTTTTTTTTATTAAAATAGCTAAATTATGCTGTAAATATTGGATTTCATAGATGTAGGCCTAAACGAGTAAATTTATTAATACAGTATGTACTATCTGTGAGACATAAAAATTTTAGTTTATTTTGTGAATATATATTTTGGGAGGTACCGAAAAATATACCCCTATCTTCATTAGGCTACATTGTAACACAAACACAACCAACTTTTCTTATAATCTGTTCTTAAAACCAACATTAGTTAATTAACCATG